GCTGAGTGCTTTTGAACTCGGACATTCTCCTCCCGTTCTGTGCGCGATTGTTAATCGCCCCCCTCGTTCCAAGGACTTCATAAGTGAATTCTCTGATTTTCTGGCTTACATCACACCAAGATATGATCACTTTATTATCGTTGGTGACTTTAATATTCACGTCTGTTGTCAGGAGAAGCCGTAAGTGAAGGACTTCCTTGATTTGTTGGACTCATTTAATTTAACTCAACTTGTAAATGCTCCCTCCCAACAACACGGTCACACTCTGGATCTCATTTTAACACGTGATGTCTCTGTTTGTAATTTGGTAATCGGTGACAACGTTCTCTCAGACCACATGCCTGTCTTGTTTGATATCATCCCGCCTTGTCCTACTGCTAAGTCATGTGATTCTGCACGTACTTCACCCGCCATTAACCGTTTCACTGCTGCACGTTTTACTGAAGCTTTTAGCTCTGAGAGGATCGATCAGCTCTCAGTGTCTCTCTCCACAGAGGAGCTAACCTCTCAGCTTAACTCTGTTTGCTTAAATATTCTGGACCGTGTTGCTCCTGTTAAAACCAGGAAAACAAAACTTTTATCAGAACCATGGCTTAATGATGTCACTCAAGCCGTTAGACAGCAGTGTAGGAGAGCAGAACGCAGGTGGAGGAAAGACAGGCTGCAGGTTTCTTTTCAAATCCTAAAGGAGAGTTGGCGTCATTATCAGAAGGCAGTTAAAGCCGCCAAATCGAAGTTCTTTTCTGCGATAATTGCCTCAAACTCCCACAACCCCCGAGCCCTTTTTTCCACCCTGAACTCAGTTCTACACCTCAGTGAACCTTCACCTCTAGAAGCCTCAACTGAGCTGTGTGAAAACTTCCTCCATTTCTTTTCTGAAAAAGTTGCAAACACCCGGGCACTCATTTCTCCACCTGCTCATGATCCGTCCATCCCATCTCATTGTGTTGCTGTTCTTGACCACTTCGAGCCCATCTCTCTGTCTTCCCTGGAGTAGGTCATGTGCGGCTTGAAGCCATCTGGCTCCCCTTTTGACGTTGTCCCCCCTCGACTCCTTAAGGAGCTTCTTCCTGTTCTGGGCCCTCCTGCTCTTGGCATTGTGAACAGCAGCTTAGCCTCAGGTGTGGTGCCAATAACTTTTAAACATGCTGCTGTCCAACCTCTCCTGAAAAAACCTAGCCTTGACCCCTCAGTCATGTCCAACTTCCGGCCTGTCTCCAGACTCCCATTTGTCGCTAAACTACTGGAAAAAATAGTGGAGTCCCAGCTGAAATGATTTCTAGAGGATAATGCCATCTTAGAGCTATTCCAGTCTGGCTTTAAACCTCTCCACAGCACTGAAACTGCTCTACTCAAGGTTTTTAACGACATTCTCCTATTCACAGACGCTGGTGATTCTGTGCTCCTTCCCTTACTGGACCTCACATCTGCCTTTGATACAATCGACCACGAGATCCTCATTGCGAGGTTAGAGCAGTGGGTGGGCATCACTGGGTCAGCCCTCGAATGGTTTAGATCTTACCTCGCTGACAGGTCCTTTTGTGTCTCCATCAAAGATTTTAGTTCAGCCTCGGCAGCACTTAAATGGGGGTCACCGCAAGGGTCCATCCTTGGTCCTCTTTTATTTTCTTTATACCTGCTGCCACTAGGTGCTATTTTCAGGAAACATAACATACCTTTTCATTGCTACGCAGACGACTGCCAAATCTACTTCCCCCTCAGACTCAACGGTACTCGCTCTATTCAACCGTTACTGGACTGCCTGGCTGACATCAGAGATTGGATGGCTTTAAATTTCTTGAGTTTCAACGAGAAGAAATCTGAAGTTATGCTGTTTCCTCCCAATGACACAATCACCAACCACTGCATCGACCTATCCGTTCTGTCACCGTTAGTGAAACAAAGAGTCACTAATCTAGGAGTGATACTTGACCCTTCTCTGAAACTCAACAATCATGTAAATATGATTGTTAAATCCTGCTTTTTCCAGCTGAGGCGACTGTCTAAGCTGAAGCCCATATTGTCCAAAAATAACCTGGAGACAGTAATTCATGCATTCATTACATCCAGGCTCGGCTATTGCAACTCACTCCTTTTTGGTATCAGTAAGACTTCCATAGCTAGACTTCAACTGGTCCAAAATGCAGCAGCCCGGTTTTTGACCAGCACGAGCAAAAGAGAGCACATTACACCTGTTTTGGCCTCCCTACACTGGCTTCCGGTTCACCTTCGAATCCAATTCAAAATACTCTTGTGTGTCTATAAATCACTAAACAGCTCTGCCCCCTCCTATCTAACTGATCTGCTCCAGCCGTATGTCCCACCACGTTCTCTCAGATCAGCAGACCAGTTGCTCCTAACAGTCCCAGGAACCCGTCTCAAGCGCAGAGGTGACAGGGCCTTCTCTGTAGCAGGCCCAAGACTTTGGAATGAGTTACCTCTGCTCGTTAGACAGGCCCCCTCCCTCACAGTTTTTAAATCTCACTTAAAAACACACTTTTATTCCCTGGCTTTCTGCACTGTGTGATCTGTGCTGAGTCTGTGTGCATCACACTGTGTTGGTCATGTTGCAGTTGTTGTTGTTTTCCATTATTGTTTTTGTCGGTTTCTACTTTTTGGTGTCCTGTTATGTAATCTGTTGCTGTGTGCTTGTTCTATTTGTCCCTGTACAGCACTTTGGTGTGCTTTGTCACTGTTTAAAGTGCTTTATAAATAAATTGGTATGGTATGGTATGGTAAGACAATAATTAATTAACAGTGTTTATTTACAAGAACTGAATAAGGAAATACTAAAAACAAGAACATGCTTTGATATTTCTATTGAACGTGTCAAATGTTTAAAATCCCTTAAAGAGGTCAAAGTGGACAGCTTCAGAGCTTGTTGCAAGGTGTTCCAGGTTAGAAGTGGAGTAAGAAAAGGCCTTTGTACTAAGTTCAGTCTGCACTGAGGGGACACTGCAGGTAATGATGTCCTGAGAGCGCACACTGTAACTGCTCTGATGATGCGACGTGAGAGGAGGCAGCAGAGCAAGGAGTGATTTACAGATGAAGATGTACCAATAAATAATGATGACCAACTGATCAATGAGTACAGAGTGCAGTGATGGGTATGGCAGTTACAACTTTTACTAGTAATTTACATTTTTTACTAGAATCTCTTGCAAAAAGGATTTTTAGTAATATCTGCATTAGACACACTGTCTTACTTGGTTATATTATTTAGGTTATAGTCAGGTTAATTGGAATATATGCACTTCTCTTTCATTCAGTAAGTACTTTTTTAATGTATTTGGTGTCTGACTGAATGAACGCAGTTCAGTCTCTCCAACCTCTTGATCAAAATATATATATATATGAAGTAGCTTAATGTGCTTTTGTAATAGAATTAGAAAAATTAAAAAGAGTTATTCATTTTGTTCTGTCACTTGAAGATTATTATGATTGAACTAATTGTTTGAAAAAAGGGGCAGATATAATAAGATTTTTTCTTCTTTCTGCTGCCTTTCATTTTAAATATCTTGTATTGCTTTATATTGTTATGGAATTGTTTTGTATTTTTTTAATGAATAAACTTTATACCATACCATCAAAGTTGCCTGCAATTATACCTTTTGTCCAGCAGATGTCGCTATAGTGCAATACTACACAGCGTTGATACGAAGTGTGCCATGTATGGCAAGCCCTTTTAACATAAAATCGAGTAGTCTTGACTATCTGTAGACATTCTAGATATCTTAAATTGAGTTTTGACTAGGCACAATTACATTTTGACTAGTCAGAATGCCAATTTAAGATATCTTGAATTACATTCTGACTAGTCAGAATAACAATTCAAGATATCTTGAATTCATTTTGAGATATCTTAAAAGGAATTTTGACTAGTCATAAGTACAGTTCTAGATGTCTTTAAGTTAGTTTTGCCTAGTCGTTATTTGCTATCAAGATATCTACAATTTAATTTGCACTAGTCAAAACTTCATTTGTGATATCTACAAATACATTTAAGATATCTTGAATAATGACGTAATTTAAGATATCTTTAATTGTAATTATGACTAGTCAGAACTAAAAATGAGATATCTTGAAAGCAAATAATGACTAGTCAAAATTAACTTAGAGATATCTAGAACTGTATTTTTGACTAGTCAAAATTCAGTTCAAGATATCTTGAATTGAAGCCTCCATACAACTCAATGGTAAATCTGACGTCATTATGACTAGTCAGAATGTAATTAGAGATATCTTAAATGAGTATTTTGACTTGTCAAAATGCAATTCAAGATATCTTAAATAACTAATATGTCTAGTCAAAACTCAGTTTCAGATATCTGGAATGTAAGCGTGGTGAATCCTATTTTATGTTAAAAGGGCTTGCCATAGCCACACTTTTCTTAACACTCAGAAATGTTCGTGGTTTTGGCTGCTATATTCATTGTTACTGAAGAACAACACTTAAGTTTTTTTCACAAGTTTCACATGTTCAAAATCAGTTTTTAGGTCAACACTCAATGCATGTGTTTAAGACTTTTATTATGAAAAGATTATAAGGAGTTCTCGGACTAACTAAAATACTGAATGTTATTTTGTAGTTAGCCCAGTACAGGTGACCTATAACCTTTTGATAAAATTATAATATCATATAAATACAGTCGTGTTCAGGAGCACAGCGAGGTTCTTTTCCGCTGGTTTACTTTGAAAGAAGACTTTCTTTGATTATGAGGTTTGTTTTTTCTTTCTGTCAATAAACTTGCGACATTTTTATATCACTAACGGTGAAACTAATTTCGAAATTTAGAAAAGAAGCAAAACTTTTACATTTTTTTCTGAGACGCGCTCGGAAAAGAACAGAACCCCGACACAAAATGGCGGTAGAAGCACGGGACATCTAATCGAAGCGCATACGCGATGACGCAATCATCAAGCGCCGGAACAGCTAGCGTAATTACGTTAGCTGAGAATTAAGCTTCTGCAAACTGTGCTACTCGTGTGGTCGTGTGATGATCCAGCAGCCGGTCCGGTCCGGATTAGTTGTTCGCTTTCCTCTCATGCAGAACCCGTCATGATGTCAGAGGAGGAGGACTTATCAACAATCCTGCAGATAAAAGAGAGCCATGATGGAGACTTCACGGCACCCGACGGACCGTCACCGTGCTGGTTGTCGGTTGCGTTCTGTCTACTGCTCGCCTGCTCATATGTTGGGAGTTTATACGTGTGGAGGAGTGACCTGCCCAGGTTAGGCTGTTTTTCTGTCTGCCAACTGTCTGTCTGTCTGTCAGGTGTCTGTCTGTCTGACAGCCAGGTGATTGTGTGTGTCTCTCTTCCTTCTGTCTGTCTATGTCCGTCTTCAGGTGACTGACTCCGTGTGTCTGTTTCTGTCAGTGTCTGTCAGGTGTGTGTGTGTGTGTTTCGGTCTGTCTGTCTGTCTGTTTCCCAGGTGAGTCACCATATACTATGGAACACCAAAATGCTAAAATAAATAATTATGAAATAAGAAAAATGTTCATTTTTATTCAACAATGGTCAGTCAGGTCATGAGAATAGTTAATTTTTTTTGTGGAAAGACGTTTCGCCCTCTATCCAGAGGGCTTCATCAGTCTGAGGAGTCCCAAGTAAACCGTTTTCCCCACTAAGCAGGACACTCCTTTAGTGGACCAACCAGTTTGCTGGTGATTAGATGGTTACTGGGGGCTGTCCTGTCCCCTGTCGACTCCTCCCAGGCAGCCAACTGGCTGTGACTGCCTGGGAGGAGTCGACGGGGACAGGACATGCAAGCAGCGATTAGTTGTTTTAAAAGTTGTGACATGCATGTTTTTGGTCTGTGGAAGGAAACTGGAGTACGCAGAGCAAACCTACGCATGCACAGAAAGAACATGCAAACTCCACCCAGAAAGGTTCCCAGCCAGGATTTGAACTAGGGCAGCCTGCTTACTGAGATACAACAGCTCTACCAACTGCACCACCGTGCTGCCAGGTTATACCAGGACTATAATATTTACTGTCATTCCATCAGTCATCAACATGACTCGGTGCATTCACACCAGCCCTGTTTAATCCACTTTAATCAAACTCTAGCTCGTTTTCCTAGAAAGTCCGGTTCGTTTAGGGAGGTGTGAACGCACCATCGAACTCTGTCACGGAACAAAAAGGCGAACTCTGGCCCGGTCTAAAACCTAGGTCTCGGTTCAGTAGAAGAGAACTCCAGCGCGGTTCGAGTGCAGTGTGAATGTAAACAGACCGAGCCCCGATTCACAAGCAAGAAGTGGAGTACAGCGCAGGACAAACAAACGCATTTCTCTGACCTTATATGGAGCCGTCAGCTGCCTTGTGTGAAAAACAATATTCTCCATGGTCTTCTGTCTCATCTTCTGCTCATGCTGAGTCCATTGTTGAAAAATGACAAAATATAACTCCTATGCTAAAACTTGATGCCACTTAGTTTTTATTTTTATTTACAGAAGAAGAAGACGTGTCTTCAGAGGTTTTTGTGTCGTTTCTTTCAGTAGTTCTTGGTGCAGCGCCCCCACAGGCGAGCGGGGGAATAGGTTGGTTCAACAGGTTGACTCGACTGCACAGTGCAGTGTGAATGCAAACGCACCAGCTCAAATGTAAACAAAAGGTCATAAAAATTGGTCCCGAACTGAACCGAGTCTACTGGACTATCAGGTGTGAATGCACCCAGAAAACAACCTAAGGTCGTTTTCACACCAGATAGTCCAGTAGACTCGGTTCGGGACCAATATTCATGACATTTTGTTTACATTTGAGCTGGTGCGTTTGCATTCACACTGCACTGTGCAGTCGAGTCAACCTGTTGAACCAACCTATTCCCCCGCTCGCCTGTGGGGGCGCTGCACCAAGAACTACTGAAAGAAACGACCAAAAACCTCTGAAGACACGTCTTCTTCTTCTTCTGTAAATAAAAACAAAAACGGAGTGGCATCAAGTTTTAGCAGTTTTAGGAGTTATATTTAGTCATTTTTCAACAATGGACTCAGCATGAGCAGAAGATGAGACAGAAGACAATGGAGAATATTGTTTTTCCACACAAGGCAGCTGACGGCTCCATATAAGGTCAGAGAAATGCGTGTTTGTTTACCCTGTGGAGCGGAGTCCGGTCTGTTTACATTCACACTGCACTCGAACCGCGCTGGAGTTCTCTTCTACCGGACCGAGACCTAGGTTTTAGCCCGGGCCAGAGTTCGCCTTTTTGTTCCGTGACAGAGTTCGATGGCGCGTTCACACCTCCCTAAACGAACCGGACTTTCAAGGAAAACAAGCTAGAGTTCGATTAAGGCGGGCTAAACAGGGCTGGTGTAAATGCACCCTAAATACGTAGGTCTCAGTTCGGTTGAAGTGAACTCTGGCGGTTCAAATGCAGTGTGAATGCAAGCGGACCAGAGACCGCTCCAAAAGCAGGAAGTGGACTACAGCGCAGGGCAAACGTCAGCTGCATTGTGTGAAAAACAACATTCTCCATGGTCTTCTGCCTCATCTTCCACTCATGCTGAGTCCATTTTAGAAATTTCCATTTCCTTCAGTAGTTCTTGGTGCAGCGCCTCCGGGGGGACAGGTTAGCTTGACTGACTCAGTGCAGTGTGAACCGCTGAAAATGTTTGTGCTCCGTTTGTGCCGTTAAGATTTTCATTTGTGTTTGCTTTATATATTATATAGTCTTTTTTTCATTCTACCTTTATTTATACAGGTTAGTCCCATTGAGTCTCGAGGACTCATTTACAAGAGAGACTTGATTTTAACAAAGAATGATGACTACAGTAGACAATCATAAAGGATGCATATGTATTTATTTTTTTGCATTCATTCAGGTTCTACCATCCATCCATTACCAGCAGAAAATGTAAACAAATGTTCTGAACATTGGTCCCCAATCGAACCGAGTCTACCGGACTATCAGGTGTGAAAACGACCTAAGGCACAACTTTCAAAATTGAAGTGTTAGTTCTGACAGCACGGTGGTGCAGTTGGTAGGGCTGCTGTCTCTCAGCAAAAAGGTCACCGGATCAAATCTTGCCTGGGACCTTTCTGAGTGGAGTTTGTATGTTCTCTCTGTGCATGCATGGGTTTTCTCCAGATACTCCAGTTTCCTCCCACAGACCAAGAACATGCATGTTAGACTGGTAACTCTAAATTGTCTCTAGGTGTGAGTGAGAGAGTGAATGGTTGTTTGTCTCTATGTGTCCCTGTGATGGACTGGAAACCTGTCCAGGGTGTACCCCGCCCCTCACACAGTGATTTCTGGATATGGGTACCAGTGACCTTCGTGACCCCAAAAGGAAGAAGCGGTTAAAGATGATGGATGGATGAAATGTTTGTTCTACTTGCAACATTTTAATGGCTGACAAATAAAACAAAAATAGAAAATGAGTGTTCTTGTGCTCCCCCTGTCATTACATTACCCCACAGATTGAGAACCAGTGGTGTAAAGGGAGCCGTGCTGGCCCCAGAACAAACCATGAGCTGCTGGCTCATAAACAGCTGAACGTGTTGACTGCAGAGTGGACACAGTCCCACTGCTGGTGTGCTGATGCTGTTGTCCTCCGTCCTCAGGGATCATCCCACTGTGATAAAACGACGATTCACCAGCGTCCTAATTGTGTCAGGTCTGTCGCCTCTCTTTGTGTGGGCGTGGAGGGATGTCACAGCCGTCAGGGTAAGTTGACCCTTCTGAAATGTAAAGAACATCAACCAAACATTTGTCTCACTGGGCTCCAGTTTTTCAATGATTTGACTAAACGTTACTTACTCTCTGATAGAAACAGCATTTAGACATGACTTCATTCAGACAGTCAGGAAGAGCCACAGTAGTTTCACCATGTGTGCCATTTGTGTCAGCTCAGATAAGAAGAGACTAACTTCAGAGTAGAGAAAGACCAGTCAAACCAGCTGCTTTTCAGCTGGTCCAGTCTGAGCACACCACAGATAAACTGCCAATCAGCACATTATAGAGAATTGTCATCAACTTATCTTGTGAATCCCTAAAAGACTGTCTGATGGTTTATTCTGATTAAACTATTAGTATTACTACATTGTACGTTTTTTAGCGTTGCAGCAGATCACAAACTGGTTAGACCTCTGCAGCTATGTGCTGAGAGGAAGAGTCTCTGTTGCACATTTATTTAAAACAGACCGGACTAAATGATGATGAGGAGGAGGAGTTAGAAGGTCACATGTAGTTGTAGCACCAGATCCAAGGTCTAAAAGAGCTTAATGAGAAGTTAGACAAGAGAAATCCCAAGAGGCAAAGTCTGACAAAAGCCTTTTTTTGTTTTAGAAAATATTGTTAAAAAAAAAAAACAGACTTGTTATTGTGGACCCGGGATTGTGTCTTGTTTAGTTGGATGTAGGCCTGTCACGATAACAAATTTTGCTGGGGGGTTAATTGTCTCAGAAATTATTGTGATAAACAATAATATTGTTTAAAATTTGACATTAATTAGTAATTATTGTCAAATTTAAGAAGAAATGGTTAATTTGTTTTGAGTGTAATACCTTTTTTCAATCACCGGATGGCAGTATAAGACTGTTTGAACTGAAGGATGGCTGGTGAGGGAGCAGCGTGTCTCTTTAAGAAAAATGGGAGGGAGGACACTTGACCTGGCACGGGCTGTCTCTCTCTGGTTCTCAAAATGGTGGACACTTGGTGTTGTTTGAGCTCTTTAGCATAGCATTTTTCACACAAAGCTTTTAATAAAAAATTCAGTAAACAAGTTCTCAGCTTCTTTTTGTAGAGAAAAACAACTTTTTAGACAAAGACACGGGTTTCAACCGTGAATTTTGGAGCTTCATCAAGCCAGAGGTTTTTTCCCGAGGTCACCCTGTTAGCTTAGCTCGTAGCTTAGCTTCTCAGCTTAACTGCTTTTAACAGAGTTTAGCTTTTTGTTATCCAGTGTCTTCAGTAGAAAGAGAGAAACACGAAGAAACGATAAAGCCGATAAATGAAAATGAGGTCGATAATTTTCATTCATCGTGTGATTAATTGATTTATTGTTTATCGCAACAGACCTAGTTGGATGAATGTCTTGTCAAACCTTACTTTGGATTTGTTTAGGCATCAAAGGAGAACAAGAAAAGTTGTTTTATTTGTGTCAGTCATGGCGTCTTGAAATGTTGTAAGATTGTTGGAAAAGTCATCCAGAGTTGACCACGTTTTGTTTAGGAAATAACACAGACTGTTGTTGAGTTAATCATGCTCAACGTGATAATTTTATTGTCCTATGTGCAGAAAAGGGGAGGAGTTGAAAAGTTTGAAGGACTTCCTGTGGTGTTCTGTGGAGCACCTTGGTGATCTTTGTCTACGACTGAAGGTGCTGCAGTAAGAGTCCAGTGTGTCATGCAGGAGGTGTGATGTGTTGTTCAGGATCTGGAGCAGGTTCCTCAGCATCCTCTGCTCAGACACCTCTGTCAGAGACTGCAGCTCCACTCCCAGAACTGAACCAGCTCTCTTGATAAGTTTATCGAGTCTGTTGGCATCAGCTTTCTTCACCCTGCAGCCCAGCACACCACAGTGTAGAAGAAGATGCTGGAGACCACAGAGTGGTAAAACATCTGCAGCATGGTCCTGCAGATGTTAAAGGACCTGAGTCTCCTCAGGAGAAAAAGGCGACTCTGCTCTTTCTTGTAGAGGGTGTTTGTGTTGGCTGTCCAGTCCAGTTTATTGTCTAGTGGACCCCCGGGTACTTGTAGCAGTCCACAATGTCCATCTTAGTACTTTTGATGTTGATAGAGTTGATGGTGGGGGGGGGGGTAGTCTTCTTCCTGTCCACCTGCAGATGGAGAAGTTCAAGTATCTGGACATCTTGTTCACGACTGATTGTAGGATGGAGCAGGAGACACATTGATGCCTACTCCTCAGTACTGAGGGCGTTGCTTCGATCGGTCACGGTGAAGAAAGAGCTGAGTCGAAAGGCAAAGTTCTTGATTTACTGGTCTATGTTCCAACTCTCACCTGTGGTCATGAGGTTTGTAACATGATAGAAAGCAAGATCCTGGATGCCAGCAGCCAAAGTAATCTTCTTTTATATGGTGGCTGGACTCAGCCTTAGAGATAGGGTGAGAAACTCCGTCATCCAGAGGGAACTGGGAAGAGAGTTGCTGCTCCTTCTCATCAAAATGAGTTAGTTGAGGTGGTTCATCAGATTAGGAGGTGGTACAGGTATTCCAGGCACATCTCACTGGGAGGAGGCCCAGAACTCGCTGGAGGGATTGTGTCTACTCTGGCCTGAGAGCACCTCTGGGTCCTCCAGGAGGAGCAGGCGAGTGTTGTGGTTGGACGCAGCTGACAACAGAAGTTTTCACCACAAAATGCTTGTTGATCAGTTTGACTGGCTGCCTGCTCTTACTGCAGCATAGAAAGCAAAGTACAGCAGTACTGTAAATGTCAGCTTAACTTCTGCCTCTCTTCATTTGGAGACACAATTTGTCCTGTCCTCTTTGTGATGTAGGAAATTTTCTTTTTTGCGCTAGTACAGTACTTTACAATGTTTCAGTCAAACTGAAGCAGGACCCCATACATTTATCTGGAGCTATTGCATAAACTATTCCTAGTTGGTTATAAAAACTGCAGTGGCAGTTTTTACAGGCAGAAGCATGGCTGTTCCATGGGATCTCTGGTGTCATCGTTTGTATCTGATCTCTTCATGGAGAAAGTCAAAAAGAGAGTCCTGGACTCCTTCAAGAAAACAACACACAGTTTAGATTTGTGGAAAATACCTGGGCCAAAATCCAAGCAAAGGAAGTACTGTAGAAGCGTTCACCAAACATCAACTTTGTCGAAAACATCAAGCTCACCAGAGAGGACTATAACAAGAACAAGCTGCCTTTTTGATGAACATGGAAAGAGAGGACAGACTCAACACTGAGGTTTACAGGAAACCAACCCACACAGATCAGGACCTTCTGTTGGACTCTCACCATCCACGGGAACACAAGTCATCAGAACTTTACACTACTGAGCCGAACGTGTCCCCACGAGGACAGAAGAAACGGAAAAGAAACATAAATACATCAAAAAGGTTCTTCAAACATGGTGATAGCCTAAACTGGGCTTTTGTCAAGTCAGTGAGGAAATCTAAAGCTCACTTCCACCACATCATAGAGCTGCTGAGGTTCAGACAGGGGACAGTGTCAGGGATCCTCCTCTCAGCAGGTCAGAGTTCGTCTTCTTTAAGGCTTCCATGGGGATTTGTCTTCATGAGTGAATAAAATGGTTAACAAACATAACAACTGGACTTCTGTTTTGTAGCTGAGGACAATTTGCTACCCATCTGGGAGGCTTTCTCAGTCCAAAATTTGTCTGGAGGGTGTGGGGTTCCAGGCTTTTTTCAGGTCCCTAACATTCTGTCATCAGAACTCCACATCAACGGGCCCAACATGTCCCCGCAAGGACAGAGGAAAAGAAAAAGGAACAGAAACACGTCAAATGATTCTCCAAACGTGGATATCCCAAACTGGGCGTTTGTCAAATCAGTGAGGAAATCTAAAAAAAACACACTACAGAACAGAACAAGGAGAACAAACTAAACAATAGCTATGTTTACATGGACGTAAGTAATCGGATTAAACGGCCATTCAGAATAAAAATGTGTCATGTAAACGCCCCATTTGGATTATTCTTTGTTGAGTCAGCTCGATCCGAATGAATTTGTAATCAGAATGAGAGGGGTGATTTACGCCGATTCATAATCTGAAAGGTGCACATGTAAACACTTAATCTGTTTACTTTTTCCTATCATGAAAAACTGACCTGACTGCACATGTGCGATCTATGTCATTTCCGCCTGGCTAATGCTAATAATATTAGCATGTTGGGGAAGCAAAACTGGTCGGTGAGCGACAACATTTCTACTAGAAACTTTGAAAGAGCTCAGAATGATCTGTGTGACCTGTAGCTCAGTCAGGGAGCGCAGTAACGTCTCCACCATCATTAAAACCTGTCGCGGGTCCATTTTGGCGCTCAGGTTTGTTTACGTTCATCCCGGAAGTAGAACTTCTTCTTCTGTGTTTTTTTTAAAGGAGAGTTTACTACTCTGCACGTGTCAGTCCTTCTGTTCCTAATAAAAGCCTGCTGCATGTAAACGCTCGTCACGAACGGAGTGTGCCCATGTAAATGATATGTGTGGATTATTTAATCTGAAACATTTCAATCCAGTCAAAGAATTTTGCGCATGTAAACATAGCTAATGCCATCCCATATGTTGCTGGAGTATCTGAGGAACTTAAAGGATGTTCTCCGAACACAACATCCCTGCACATTTTAAATCCAACAGGACTCTCAGACAGAGGCTGGTCCATCCTGAGGACAGAACCCCCAAACGGAGCGGTGTGTCTGCAGGTCAGTGCAGTGAGGAATGTTCAGACCTCTACGCTGGAGAAACTAAACATCCTCTCCACAGACGCATGGCTTAACACAGAGAGCAGCTCTTCAGGACAAGACTCAGCAGTCCACCTGCATCTAAGATAAGAGACACTCTCAAGGACCTAAAGGTTCATATTTTACACCTAGAAGACGGTTTAAGAAGGAGTGAAGAAAGCCTTTACATGAAACAAGTAAAACCAACGAAGGAGGATGTCTTAGATTCCAGTTTTTCAAAACTTTCATTGCATTCATGCCGATACCGTCAGTCAGTCAGCTTCACTTTAATTCACATCTTCATGCATGGGACCAAAACATTTCTCTTTGAGCCAAGCTAACAAAGATTTAATGACCCTCAGGAGCAAGGGCAGTGAGGATATTCTGTTTGTGATTTTAGCTGCAAACACAAAGTGCCTCATGCAGTTTAATGGTGCAGTCCATTTACATCAGAAGTTGAAGTGATGTCATGTTAGAGTTGCCCACGTTAGAAAAAAGATGGACGCTTGCAGCAAAAGCCTTTGTTGTTCTTGTTCTTTCTGAATTGCCAAACAAATATGTAGTCCACTTGAAGAACATGCTGGAGGAGGATGAAAGGCGCAGAAACAGTTTGGTCCCTAACACCCGCAATAAACGAGGGACCACCGCGCCCCTATAGTAAAACACATATATTACTGGATTCCTAAACTGTTACTATGTGGACTGTAACGTTAGTAAGGTTAAGATAAACACCTTAACATTTATTTTATTTATTATTTATTTTAAATTTATTCTTCATGTGTAACATTTATCAGGAAAAATATTTTTCCAGTCGTTTTTAACCTACCCATTTTTTAAAAAGATTTATTTATTGACAATGCATCAAAGTACATTTGCCATAAATACAATATTAACAGAAAAATTAACATTAACTCCCCTCCTCCAACTGGTACTGTGCTCAAAAACCTTCACAACACCCAGACCTTTGTGATACCTTAAGTATTAAAAGAAGAAAGAAAGAAAGAAAGAGGAAGCAAATGGGAGAATCCAACCTGTTGAGAAGCTGAAGACTATGCATTCAAGTAAGAGGGTTAACTGAGGGGAGAACGAGCAGGAAAGAGCTCCATATTCTATCAAAGGTAGCAGGTTTTGTCCTTACATTGTACAACATTTTCTCTGGAGTGCAATATGATGACAGCTCATTTAACCAATGCTTTTGCGATGGCAGGTTTTCTGATTTCCATTTAAAAAATTTTTTTTTTTTCCCAGCAGTGCTGGCTAAAGTCACAAAATATATATATATTTGTATGCAGTAATATTAAGCATCTTGATACACTATCTTGCCAAAAGTATTCGCTCACCTGCCTTGACTCACATATGAGTTTAAGTGGCATCCCATTCCTAATCCATAGGGTTCAATATGACGTTGGTCCACCCTTTGCAGCTAGAACAGCTTCAACTCTTCTGTGAAGGCTGTCCACGGGTTTAGGAGTGTGTTTATGGGGATTTTTGACCATTCTTCCAGAAGCGCATTTGTGAAGTCACATGCTGCTGATGTTGGACGAGAAGGCCATGCTCTCAGTCTCTGCTCTAATTCATCCCAAAGGTGTTCTGTCGTGTTGAGGTCAGGACTCTGTGCAGGCCAGTCAAGTTCATCCACACCAGACTCTACCATCCATGTCTTTATGGACCTTTGTGCACTCTTACACAGTCATGTTGGAAGAGGAAGGGGCCAGCTCCAAACCATTCCCACAAAGTTGGGAGCATGGAATTGTCCAAAATATCTTTGTATGCTGAAGCAGTCACAGTTCCTTTCACTGGAACTAAGGGGCCAAGCCCAGCTTCTGAAAAACAACCCCGCACCTTAATCCCCCTCCAACAAACTTTACATGTGGCACAATGCGGTCAGACAAGTACCGTTCTCCTGGCAACCACCAAACCCAGAATTTCAGCTTCTATGACGTCTGACACAGTGGTTATAATGAACTTCCAAAGTCTTCTAGGCAAGGACAAGACCAGAGGATATGCAGTAATTGCCTTCAGTTATTTTACATATTTGGCACATGGCAGAGATGTTCCCATTGATGTAATCTCTGTGGGGTAAAATAGACTCTGTGGAAAATGTTAAATTGTATTTGTCTGTTTCGTAGAAATGAGAACTGTTTGGCATCTGTCCAAAATGTTTTGCCTGTCGGTGTCATCGTATTTACAACCTAGGTCTGTCTCCCACTTGTTTTTAAATGACGGTCTTTTGTAAATTAGTACATTTTTGTTCAGAATGTTGTATATAGAAGATATCAATCCTCTTGTGGAAGAGAGTCGTGTATCGAGCAGTTAATCTCTCGAGGGGGGATTCATTAGGAATATATGGGAAATAAGCGAAGTTATCTTGAAGCCAGTGTCTGATTTGGAGGAATTTAAAATGGTTGTTTTGTAACCTACCCATTTTGATGTTTATTTCAGCTATACAGTCCACAAAATTAGCATTTTCTTATTGTGGAAAAACTACCAGGAAAAATATATATTCTGGTATTTAATACAGAGGTAGAAAATGCTGGAAAATACATTTGTACATTAGAAATAAGCTCAAATGGTTAGGTTTCTCTTCCTCTGCAAAAATACTAGAAAATAAAATTTTACCAAGTATAATATTTTTGTCTCACTTGTTTAACTGGTTCTCTTTACCTACTTTTAGGACTTGTGTGAAAATCTGATGTTTTAGGTCATATTTATGCAGAAATATAGAAAATTATAAAGAGTTTTCAAACTTTCAAGCACCACTGTATCTGTACAGTCCACAAAATTAACATTTTAGGGATCCAATAATATTAACTTAAGCATTTGCATATTAAGCTGATGATTTTTAGCTTCTGTGTAGGCCTGTCATGATAACAAATTTTGCTGTGCGATTGTCTCAGAAATTATTGTGATAAGCAATAATATTGTTTGAAATTTGACAATAATTAGTAATTATTATTACATTTGAGAAGAAATGTTGGTTCATTTGTTTTGTGTGTAGTACCTTTTTTCGACCACTGGATGGCAGTATAAGACTGAACCTAAGGATGGATAGTGAGGGAGCGAGCAGCGTGTCTCTTTAAGAAAAATGAGAGGGAGGCCCCTTGACGTGACATGGGCTGTCTCTCTTCGGTTCTCAAAATGGCGGACGCACTGTGTGGTTTGAGCTCTTTAGCATAGCATTTTTCACACAAAGCTTTTAATAAAATAAAATAAAAAACAGTAAACAAGTTCTCAGCTTCTTTTTTGCAGAGAAAAACAACTTTTTACATGAAAGCACAAGTTTCAACTGAATTTTAGAGCTTCAACAAGACAGAGTTTTTTTCCCAAGGTCGGCCTGTTAGCTTAGCTTGTAGCTTAGCTGCTTTTAACAATCCAAAAATGTGATTTTGGACGGTTAAAATGGATTTTAAAGAAAAAGGGAGGGGTCAGTGAAGAACACCGGAGTTGAGCCTTTTATCATCCAGAGTCCAATAGAAAGAGACACGAAGAAACGATAAAGCCGATAAATGAAAATGAGGTTGATAATTTTCATTTATCATGCGATTAATTGATTTATTGTTTATCATGACAGGTCTACTTCTGTGTAATTTAGAAATGTGTCTTTTCCCAGTAAGTCAGTATATGTGGTAAAGCTCAGATGTCCCAGCTTTTCACCAGCCTTGAACGCAGCATTATCTCTGTGTATCTGGAGCGGTAATAATGTCTCAAAAGTCACATTCACAGACAAGCTTATCTGTGTGCACTGCTCATGTTGCCTGATCCGTCTGCTGCAGGTGAATTGTGCACGTGTATTTGACCATTTGTGTGCACAGAATATTCCAACTTGTGCAATTTGAAATGTGTCCATTTGAAAAAATTTTATACATTTGTGAATTGTGTCGTACACATTTGTAAAACTTGTTGCTTGTGTATTTTGTTGTACGTATACAAATCTTGTACACTTGTACAATCAGGCTTTTTCAGTCACGGCCCCTAAACTTTGGGACAATCTGCCCCCAACATAAGACAGACCACTTCACTTCCTGTTTTAAATCTCTTTTAAGAACACATCTGCTTTCACTGACGTTAATCACACTGTGATCTGATCTAGTGTTTTTATTGTTCTGTTGTTATGGTTTTCTTTTTATGCTTTTAATTAATTTTTTATATTTTTTCATTAAATTACTGCCAATCCTTTTATTGTTAAACACTTTGGTAACAGCTGCTGTGTTAAAATGTGCTTTATAAATAAATTTGACTTGTGACTACTTTTGAGATTAATTCATCTTCATACTTTTAAGGTTTGACTGAACTAGCTCTATATCTATATTTTCCTAACACATGAGCTATGTCAAAAACTCAGGCATGAAGATGCTTCCTTCAAAACTCCAAGGCCTTTACTATATTCTTGTAAAGACTCGTACCTCCCTGAAAGCAGACCAAATATATTCTGTGCAACTTTTCAGCCTTGATCTGTTCATCATGATGTGAAAGTTATGGAAGAGCAGCAGTAAAGCGTATGTTTAGACTTGATGCTGACGTGCTCTTGGTCTGCCAAAATGACTGGATGACTTGCATGAAAGAGGCTACATTACGTCTGTCAAACCTGCTATTTTTAAATTATTTTTGTTGTTTGTGTTTATTTTTCCTGTTTATGTGGCAGACAAACCCTTCTCTGCTGGCTCTCATGGGGATCCGGCTTGAAGGCCTTATTCCTGCTGTGGTCCTTCCTTTGCTGCTAACTATGGTAAATAACATCTTTTTTTAAATTTTATTCTGATGATGTGAATGAGCCATTACCAGGTCTAATTCTGACTCAAACTTCATGTTTGAAAGGGATCAGATCTGCTGGTACAGAACCCACATGTTTAAATATGTGCTACCCGTTTGTTGTTTCAAGTTCATCAGTAAAGTTCAGTCATCTGCATAAAGGAAAACTAGTTCCATTTGATCAAGACAACAATTTTGTCTTTTTCCTGAAAGGCACAAAGTCTGTTCAGCACACTGATGAACACAACCTCTAACACCCATAACAGTCGGGGCATGTATCCTTGTATTTGTGATTTGTAGGAGCTGCTGCTTTACACCTTAATGCACTTCACGTCCAGGTTAAGTTTATATGTGTCAGATTGGATGATTTCTATAGCAGATAAAGCCACTTTCTGTTTGGTGCCTACAGCTTGGTAAGATCATTGTGTTCATAATATTGTATGTTGTGCTGTCAATCCATGGGCCTTTATCAACCTTGTGAAATCTGTTGCAGTTTTAATGTTGCATGCATGACTTAGTCTTTTCTATTTATTTAAAAAAACATTCATCAAAGCATCTAACTTGAAGAATTGACACACATTTCCAGATAAATGGAACCCTCACATAGATGATGGGCGTAAACTGGCTCGTTTTCAAGATGTAAAGCTGACATTTTTTTACTTTGTTTAAATATAATGTGAATACTTCACAAACATCAAATTTTGTATCCAACATAACCAGTTTCCTATAGAATCTTGAAAAGTGAGTCCTAATTTGAAAGCAAGATGGTCACTGAGGAGCTCAGGGGGGATGCAAAGCTTTAATAAACAGGCTGTCAAATTGGTATGCATGCGTACAAAATATATCAAGATAAAATAAATGCTGGTGAGAAGCATAGCTCTACGTCAGTGGTGGCAGTGGGGGGTGGTTGAAGAGAAGTGGAGTGCTACGTCTGTATTGCGCGCTAGTTTAGTGCTACTTAAGTGGTGACAGTTCTCGATTGGGTGGGGTGGGGAGGTTCTGTTGACAGACCAGAGCTTCCTGCTTGAATAATGGTAGGGGAAACACCATTGTATGTATGTTTACATTGTGAGCTGGATATCTTGAAAATTAGGCAATGTGTCGACTTCCATTTTGGCGTGTGGCAGCAAATATGCATAAAAGGTGCTTATCAAAAATTGGGTTTGCTACAACCATGTTTACACCATCAGTGTAAACCAAGAGAAGAGAGGCGAAAGAGAGTGATGCCTCTATAAATGGAACGCGTCCTCTTTTCTCTCTATTTTAAGAGTGGAACCACTTCTCTGGTCTGCCAATCCATTGACACTACCCCAATGATGACATGCTTTTGCAAAAGCGTGTCAACCAAGGCAGCCCCAAATCATCCATAGCCTTCAGGAAATCGGGGCAGATCTCGTCCACCCCCATAACCCTGCTCCTGTGAAGCTTTTGAACTACCTCGGCGACCAAGAGTCTCTATCCAAGGCCTCACTGAACTCCTCCCACATCCGAGTTTTTGCCTCAGCAACAAATTGTAAATGGTAAATGGACTGTATCTAAAAAAGGTAAGTCTGGTCCTCTGGACATTCAAAAACAAACAAAAAAATTAGAAACGTTTCGTCTTTCATCCGAAAGACTTCCTCAGTCTGAGGTGCTGTATTCAGCTCAGTCTTATAAATAGCACCTTCTCAGAGTGGATCAACCAGTTTGCTGTAACCTAAACCAGCTGCTCACGTGATCAAGAAGGACCATCAGCCATTTTGGGAAATCTGAAGTCAGCCGATACTTGCACGAGAAACCGATTTTACCTTTTTTGTTTTTTTAGTTTTAACAATAATTGTGGGGAGTGGTGGCGCAGAGGTTAGAAGATGGGCCTGTGATCAGAAAGTCACAGGTTCAACTCTCGGTACCGTCAACATCAAACTGTGGGTGGAAAAGGTGAAAAACCCACACCTGCCTCCACCCTCATTCGCCCCACTCTGGGCCCCTGAGCAAGGTCCTTAACCCCCACCATCTGCTCCCTAAACAGGTCTCTCTTGAAAATGAGTTCTTGTGGCTCAATGAGACTACCTGGATAAATAAAGGCTAAATGAAAAAAGTATATTTAAAAATTGTCTGAACTTTATTTATATTTCAGAGCACTACCTCATGGCCAGTTAAAACAAGTTTGTATTGTTTCTAGGATATTGTTCAAGGGTATGTTTTTCAATAAAATAATATTGAAAAAGGAAGGTGTATTGTGACCTTACAACATCTGAAAGTGTCGCTTATAAAACAAAATCGGTATCGGCCAAAATCTGAATCGGCAGGTCAGACTTTTTAGAAATCTGTGATCGGTGTTTGGCCAAAAAACTGCAATCGGTGCACCTCTAGTGTGTATGCTAGTTAGACCTTAGGGAGGGCATCAGATACATCCTAAAATAATGAAATTTATAAAAGTAAAACTAAATAGTGAATGTTTGAAATTCATTCACACTATTGAGATAGATATTTCTTTTGTACATTTTTCGGCACGTAATTTGATCAGTAATTTATGTGGTATTTAAAAAATGTACATATAAAATGTTCAGCTAATTCAAGATATTTCTGCTATGATTTCTGGTGATTTTTGTTCAGTTTTTTATTTTTGAAACATTTAGCTTTTTCAGCCATATTTTTTCCATTGAAAAGCATGCATGTTAGGCTGATTGGTAACTCTAAATTGTCTCTAGGTGAGAGTGAGAGACTGAATGATTGTTTGTCTCGTTTGTCTCTGTGTGATCCCGGCAACCCGAAAAGGAAGAAGCGGGTAAGGATGGATGGATGGATGGATGGATGGATGGATGGATGGATGGATGGATGGAAAATGAGTTGAGCTCTGTTCACATCCTTCAAACCATTTGTGCTGTTTACATCCTTTTACTGCTTTTTTCAGCATTTGTTCTGGTTCTACTTTGTTCAGCTTCTTTTAGTTAATTTAAGCTTTTTTCAGCTTCTTTTAGTTAATTTAAGCTTTTTTCAGCTTCTTTTAGTTCATTTAAGCTTTTTTCAGCTATTTTTCTGCTCCTTTAAATTTATTTCTACTAATTTCTGTATTTTTAAAATTTCCTGCTTTTTTTCTGCTAAGTTCAGACTTTTTGCTCTTTTCAACTTCTTTCTGCTAAATTCACCTTTTTTGTGTACTTACGTATTTTTCTGCAAATTTGAGTCCCCTTTCCACTTGCTAATTGCTAATGTTTGCCTTTGTGCTTCTTTCTAATAATTTTAACATTTATTCTCTTTTCAGTCTCTTTCTGCTAATCTTAGCTTCTTTTTTCAATTACTTTGTGCTGATTTCATTTTTTTCTTGTCGTTTCAGTTTTTTGTTCTTTTTTTTGTTGTTGTTGCTAATTTCATTAGCTAACCGCTTGCAGTCTAGTTTATTTTATTTTATTGAATATTGGGTCCAGTATTTTTTTAACTAAAGGTCGGAGTCATTTTTAACATTTGAAAAGCTATTACATTTATTTTTGTTTCTTCATGATTGTTGGTGAGGTTTTAGTAGAACAATACAATCTTCACTTTGGTTGCAGATTTTAATGTCATTTATCAAATCTTTTGTCTATACTTCCAAACTGTGTGTTTGGTTCTGTGCTGTAGGTCCTTTTTCTTGGCCCACTCATGCAGATGGTCATAGATTGTCCATGGAGCTTCACAGATGGCATTCGAGTGGCATTTGGTGAGTCTGAAGTGTGTTAGACCTTTTTTTACATTGGATGATTACTTAAAATATCAGCCAGAACATGATAGTCTTTGCAAGGTTTTAGCAATGTTTTCAAGTGCATATTAGGAAACTTGGTGGGCTAGTGCGAAATTGGTCATGCGGGGATTTGAGCATGCGCAAAATTTCTGTAGAAAAGTTGGGGTGGTTTATTATCATGCTGGCAGTGTATTGTGGTTTTGGAACATGGTGGCACCAGTAACAGCTTTAGGCTGATCTATACTTCACAAGATGTTATGAACTCTGTTCTCACTGACATAGTTGCATGATGAAAATTACATTATTTGATTTGGCAGACTTTGTAAGAACTCGTACTGTGCATTTTTCCTGGTGAAAAAATGTTCTTGCAGGGGTATGCACCAAGTATTGGTCAGAACTTTGTAGGCATGTTTTTGCTGAAAAGCAGGTGAGCTACGTTGCTCTTCAACTGCTGAGGAGCATCTGGCCAAGGCTGTTGGAAAATACAGCCACCTTTACAGCAGTTCCAGAAAAACTTATAAAGATAGTGAAATAAATGCTACATAAATCAAATAAAGAACATTAAATAACTCATGGAAGGAGATAGCAGAAGTTTTGTGCACAGAAGAGACCGTGTGGAAACACTGGTGGTTCTCTGTGGCTGTTCTGACTGGGAGGGAGTATGTCTCGTCAGAGCAGCAGGTTAGGGACACATCCCCCATGTTTGCAGCATCGCCGGTCAAACAGTAGTGTTTTTTGGGGACATATTCCTCCTCTTTTTCTTCTAACATGTTCTTATCTTCCTCCTTCAACTCCTCCAGCATCAACTGAAAATAAACTTCCCATCTACGCCTTCCATGCTGTCATCATAGTGTTTCTGTGTGCGTGTGACATGGGAGGGCTTTTCAGGAGTTCTGCGCTACAGTTTCTCTGTGCTAAAATCCGTCACATCTCTAAGTCTCACAACCATGTGAGCGAGAGCTGTTTTAATATGTCTCACAAGTAACTACAGTGCCTTGCGAAAGTATTCGGCCTCCTTGAACTTTTCAACCTTTTGCCACATTTCAGGCTTCAAACATAAAGATATAAAATTTAAATTTTTTGTGAAGAATCAACAACAAGTGGGACACAATCATGAAGTGGAATGAAATTTATTGGATGTGTCAAACTTTTTTAACAAATAAAAAACTGAAAAGTGGGGCATGTAATATTATTCGGCCCCCTTTACTTTCAGAGCAGCAAACTCACTCCAGAAGTTCAGTGAGGATCTATGAATGATCCAATGTTGTCCCAAATGACTGATGATGATAAATAGAATCCACCTGTGTGTAATCAAGTCTCTGTATAAATGCACCTGCTCTGTGATAGTCTCAGGGTTCTGTTCAAAGCACAGAGAGCATCATGAAGACCAAGGAACACACCAGGCAGGTCAGAGATACTGTTGTGGAGAAGTTTAAAGCCAGATTTGGATACAAAAAAAAATTCCCAAGCTTTAAACATCCCAAGGAGCACTGTGCAAGCAATCATATTGAAATGGAAGGAGTATCAGGCCACTGCAAATCTACCAAGACCCGGCCGTCCCTCTAAACTTTCATCTCGAACAAGGAGAAGACTGATCAGAGATGCAGCCAAGAGGCCCATGATGAACTTCAGAGATCTACAGCTGAGGTGGGAGAGTCTGTCCAAAGGACAATCAGTTGTACACTGCACAAATCTGGCCTTTATGGAAGAGTGGCAAGAAGAAAGCCATTTCTCAAAGATATCCATAAAAAGTGTTGTTTAAAATTTGCCACAAGCACCTGGGAGACACACCAAACATTTGGAAGAAGGTGCTCTGGTCAGATGAAACCAAAATCGAACTGTCTGGCCACAATGCAAAACGATATGTTTGACGTAAAAGCAACACAGTTCATCACCCTGAACACACCATCCCCACTGTCAAACATGGTGGTGGCAGCATCATGGTTTGGGCCTGCTTTTCATCAGCAGGGACAGGGAAGATGGTCAGAATTGATGGGAAGATGGATGGGGCCAAATACAGGACCATTCTGGAAGAAAACCTGTTTGAGTCTGCAAGAGACCTGAGACTGGGACAGAGATTTATCTTCCAACAAGACAATGATCCAAAACATAAAGTCAAATCTACAATGGAATGGTTCACAAATAAACTGATCCGGGTGTTGGAATGGCAAAGTCAAAGTCCAGACCTGAATCCAATCGAGAATCTGTGGAAAGAGCTGAAGACTGCTGTTCACCAACGCTCTCCATCCAACCTAACTGAGCTCGAGCTGTTTTGCAGGAAGAATGGACAAGAATTTCAGTGTCTCCATGTGTAAAACTGATAGAGACAAACCCCAAGAGACTTGCAGCTGGAACTGCAGCATAAGGCGGTGCTACAAAGTATTAACGCAAGGGGGCCCAATAATATTGCACACCCCACTTTTCAATTTTTTATTTGTTAAAGTTTTGACACATCCAATAAATTTCATTCCACTTCACAATTGTGTCCCATGTGTTGTTGATTCTTCACAAAAATTTTAAATTTTATATCTTTATGTTTGAAGCCTGAAATGTGGCAAAAGGTTGAAAAGTTCAAGGGGGCCGAATACTTTCGCAAGGCACTGTAGCAGCATTTAGACACTTTCATAAAACACTTCAAACCAAGACTTGGGTGCCTTCTGGTCACCTCAATAAGATTTCTAAATGGACTGAGGTGGCATGAAGGTTGACGTCAGTCCACTGCTGCGCCTTTGCCACCAAGCGAGGTAGTAACAGAACTGTGTATTTATTGCCATATTAAAATGTAAGCGGTTTTACGGTTTAATGATGTGATGTAGTAATAGCGTATGGTCTGTATGACCACCCAATTGAAAAGCCTCAACAACAGTAAACAATCATTACCATGGAGATTGTTGGTGATGCACAGAAACAGTGCATTTGGTAAAAAAAAAAAAAAGAACTAAATTCTTCATGTTTTGAAAATGGCCGCACATTTTATATATTGCACTTCAGTTCAACTCAGGGGAATTCTGCTCCATAACTCTTTTGGTTCGATGAAGCTTTCTTCATTTCTGAAAGCTCATGTCTATGTGGAGCATGACCCATCTATGAATGGTCAGTAACAGCTAAAAGACGAACTGGTCTTTGTGTCACTGACTGTGCAGAACTATTTTCTGAAAGTGCCTCATGGTTTCTGAATTGTGTGCACTGACATAGCTTGGCCATCTAGAATATAAAGCAGAAATGGCCATGCTGGCCTCAGCTATGAGCATCATCATGACGACATCCATTCATTCATTATCTTCCACTTGTTCAGGAGTCGGGTCGCAGGGGTAGCAGCTTAAGCATGGAGGCTGCCCAGCCACCTTCCAGCTCTTCTGGAAACATCTCAAGGCATTCCCAGGCCAGCTGAGACACATGGTCTTTTCAACATATCCTGGGTATTTCCCAGAGTCTCCTTTCAGTTGGACATGCCCGTAAAACCTCCCAAGCAAGGCGTCCAGGGAGAATCCTTATCAGATGCCCAAACTACCTCAACTGACTTCTCTGAATGTGGAGGAGCAGCAGCTCTACTCCAAGTTTATCCTAGATAACTGAACTTCTCACCCTAAGGGAGAGTCCAGCCATCATGCGGAGAAAACTCATTTTCACTTACCCAAAGTTCAAGTATGGACCAACAACAATAAGGAACTCAGTGTTCCTTGCCCAAATTTGCAGGAGGGGCTCGTCGACAAGCTCCTGGTGACTGGACCTCTACTTATGGGATCTGGTTGGGCTCAGCCTGATGGAGTTACATGGGATTGCCTTCATGTGGGCCCACCACCTGCAGGAGGGGCCACATGGGTCCGGTGCATGATGCCATGGGCATTAGCCAAAGGCAGTGGCCTTGGTGCCCTGTCCCTGGTTTACCAAACCTGGTTTATGGATCATTATGACAAGGAAAAATCTAAATAACCTAGGGCAGATGTAATGCTTGTAGTGGTGACATCATGCTAGTGCAACACAATCTTCTAGCGTGTATTTGCATTCAGATGCAGTCTAAGGGATTTTTGTGCCAGGGGAGGCATATAGAGCATAATAAAGGTTCAAGAGCTTGCTTAAGGACACATAAAATCAGAGATAAAACCTGCTTTTTGGCAAGCACCAATAGCATGGCAGCATCAAAACACTCATTGGAGTCTTTTGTCACAGTCCAGTCACATTCTAAAAGTCTGGCATCCACTGTAAAGGAGTCCTCAGTTTTTTATGCCATGGAGAATTTTGTCTAAATGTAGGTACAACTGGATTTATTTTATATCGTCCATTACACTTGCACTTTGAATGTGTCAATGTCTTGTAGGAATTAAATAAATGAACAAAGGAAGTAATATATTTTGCACCTGTGTTTGTGTGAAGACCCATGTTTCTGGATGTTGTGCCTCAGCGACATGCGCTGGTTAAGGAATCAGGTGGTGGCACCATTAACAGAGGAACTGGTCTTCAGGGCTTGTATGCTGCCCATGTTGGTGCCATGTGCCGGACCTTCCACTGCCATCTTCACTTGCCCCCTTTTTTTTGGAGTGGGTGAGTAAAGCTTTCTGCAACTTAACTTTAAGTTTGGTATTTGTATTTTTCTATTCTCCATTTAACTTTATTTTTTCAATCAACACATCTGTTTGTAATGTGAACATTCTCTGTGTCTGTATTTTAAACCTTGCTAGAGTTGTTTTGTTATTACTTGAGTTGTTGCATGACTAAAAGACAATAGAAAAAAAAACTACATTCATATTCAGTGCACTTTATTTATATAGTGCCAATTCATAACAAACATTATCTAAGAGCACTGTACAAAAGCATTCACTTTAATTATAAAATGGTACTAAGTACAAATTATCTAAGCAGGGCAGCAGATTGGGTCAAATCTCCACTACGTTACAACCTCCCACCCTGAGCAGCCCACAGGTGCCAGTGAAAAGCAAATTTAACTGGAAGAAATCTACAGGGGTATCAGGCTCACGATAGGCAGCCATCTGTCTCAACTGGCTGGGGAAAGAGAAGACAGGAAAGCAATAGAGGCAAAAACAGTATGGCTGGTCCAGGTGTGTTTAACACATTCTAATGATATTAATAATTGCAAATACAAATATGGGGAGTAGAACGAGTGAAGACAGCAGCAGAGTGAGGAAATTTGGTCAGTTTATCCTCCAGCAGTCTAAGCCTATAGCAGAATAACTAAGGGATAGCTCCAAAAACCCAAGCCAACCCTAATTATAGGATTTATCAAAAAGGAAATACTTTGGCCTAATCTTAAAAGTAGTCAATGTGTCGGCCTCACGGACAGAAACTGGAAGTTGGTTCCACAAGAGGGGAGCCTGATAACTCTGCCTCCTATTCGACATTTGGAAACTCTAGGAACCACAAGTAAGCCTGCAGTCTGAGAGTGAAGTACACTGTTGGGAAAATATGGAACAATAAGATCTGTAATATAAGATGGAGCTAAGTTGTTGAGAGCTTTGTAGATTAGAAGTATGATTTTTGAATTCTGTTCCGAATTTGACAGGGAGCCAATGGAGAGAAGCTAAAACTGGAAAAACGTGGTCTCTCCTTTTAACTTTCATCAGAACTCTAGCAGCAGCATTTTAGGTTAAATTAGTTTTTTGGACACCCAGATAATAAACAATTGCTATAGTCTAACCGAGACGTGATGAAAGCATGGACTAGTTTTCTGTATCATTTTTGGACAAAATGTTTCTAATCTTATTGATGCACAGGTGGAGGAAAATGGTCATGGTTAAAAAATTTAATGTGGTGCTTAAAAGACATGTCCTGATCAAAAATAACACCAAGGTTATTTTACATTAAGGGCTACATAAGAACTGGCCAAATTAATGCCATCCAGAGAAAGTAAAAGGCTGCAAAGTTTATTCCTAAGATGCTCAGGTCCAAAAACCACAACCTCTGTCTGAGTTTAAAAGCAGAAAATTAAGGGTCATCCAGATTTTTATGTCTTTAAGACATGCTTGTAGTCTAAGTAACTGTTGGATTCATCAGGTTTCATGGTTAAATATAACTATCATCAGCATATCAATGAAAATGTATCCCATGCTGTTTATTAACTTTACCTAAAAAATACATATACAGTATAAGGTAAAGAGTATTGGTCCAAGCACTGAACCCTGAGTAACCCCATGACTAACTATTGTGTATGAAGATTCATTAACAAGAAGAACTTGGAATCTGTCACATAAATATAATTTGGCAGCTGTGATGTAGAGGTAGTGCAGCCAATTTGGGACCGGGAGGTCACAGGTTCAACTTCCCGCCGTGGCCATATGTCGTAGTGTCTTTGAGCAAGACACCTATTCCCTCACTGCTCCCCCGGTGCAGCTCCCAGCTGCTTGCTGCTCCACTTGGGTGGAGCACAAATTTCATCATTGTATGGGAACATAAAATGATGTCAATACATAGAACTTGCACTTTTAATCGTTTCAGAGTTCCTGTAATCCCATTATCATGTTCAAGTCTTTGTACTAAAATATTGTGATCAATCATATGAAATGCGGCTCTGAGATCCAACAGGACATGTACAGACACCCGTCCACTGCCTGAGGCCATGACAATATCATTAGCACACTGAACAGAAACATAAACACAGCAGGTTTGTTTTTGTTCCCATTTTTCATGAGCTGTTTTCTGGAAATGTGTTGCACTGTGTGAGACAAATGGTGGTCACACCAGATACTGACTGGTTTTGTGAACCCCCCCACCCCCACCCCCCCCACACCAATATAGTAAAACTGCACATTTTAGAATGGACTTTTATTGTGGCCAGCCTTAGGAATTAAAAGCAATAATCATGCAGCATCTTGATGCGCCACACCTGTGAGTTGGATGAATAATCTCTTCAGAGAAGTGCTCACAAACACAGATTTACACAAATCTGTGAACAATATTTGAGAGAAAAAGGCAAAAAGGCCAATTGTATACTTAGAAAATATTTTAGATCTTTGAGTTCAGCAAAGACAAAAGTGTTGCGTTTATTTTTTTGTTCAGTCAGTGTAATATTCCTCAGTGCTGTTTCTGTGCTCTGATGAGCTCTAGACCCTGACTGAAACCCCTCAAACAGATTATTCCTGTTCAGATGTTCACACAATTGATTTGCCACAATTTCTTTGAAAAACTCTTGAATCAAGACCAGTTTTTTTTATTTTAAGGTTTAATTACAACAATCTTAAAGCTCTGTGGTACATAACCATTCATCTCAAAGCTGTTTCATAAAACAGCTCTGTGAAATGGACGCACAGACCAGTCTGTCTTTCTCCTCCCTTTGGCCATTAATAAATCACAGATGATGCTGGCTAGTTCCTGTACAGAAATGAGCTCAGCAGAACTCGGAAGCAGAACTCAGAAGCAGAACTCAGCTGGGTTGCTGTCGAGCGTGATGCATTAAATACATGATGGATGCCTTCCTCCTTCCTTTTAGAGATCCTCTTTGTAGTTAACTATTTTTGAAAACTTATTTCAAAGTTGCTTTGCATCATCATCAGTATTACATCAGTAATAAATCTGTTTGTTGTTGTTTAATCCCGCAAGCAGGTGGGCCCACACTGAAGTCATCAGTTCATCACATTATTGGGCCGTGCCTTACTTTATCACTTTGGCCGTTCTGACTCTGTTACGACCTTGTTTGGTAACACACAGGTGCAGAAGAGATGGGCAGCCCCCCATTTCCTCCCTTTTCTCTCTAACTGAAATCATTTTTATTTATAATGAATTTCATGAACTCATCACAGGGTGGGTGAGTGTTAAAGGGACCGCCTGTGATGAAACAAATTGAAACGTGGTAGATGACTTCCAGTTTATTGAGATATTTTTAAAGGCAGACCTATAGGTAAATGGACTGCATTTATATAGCGCCTTTCTATCTTATCGAGATACTCAAAGCTCTTTACAACACAATCTGTGCCTCATTTACCCATTCATACAAAGCTAATTGAACAAATCATTCTAAAGAGACTAATCAGAGCTTTATCACATTCATGCACTGATGGGACACACATCAGAGGCAATGAGGGGTTCAATGTCTTGCCCAGGGACACTTCAGCATGTGACTGCTGGTGGATTCGAACCTCCAACTCTTGCATTGGAAGACGACTGCTCTAACTACTCAGCCACAGCCGCCCTATAGATGATGTCTTCATAATCCAAGATGGGGAGGATTATCATTTTGACCATTTGTAGAATGAGTGAAAGAGGATTTGTTATGAAAAAACTATACTTTATTTAACTTTGGAGACTGTTTCGTTGATGAGTGTCAAAGGAAAGTGAACTGTCTAACCAGAAACCCAGATACTTGTAGAAGCTGACAAGTCGCAGTGCTGACCCATCCAGGATGATAATACTAGAATGACAGGATACTGATGGTAAGTTTAGGTGCAGTTGAAACTCGTGAATTTGAGCTGGAAAACTCCAGGAAGCAGAAGGGTGTGGAGAACTCAGGCATGTGAAGGAAACTAACGTTGCATGCTCACACATAAACAAGATGGGCAAAATTTCTACGCTGACTCCCATTATAAATTTATCCTCTTGAACCAAATGGACCTTTGGCCACTACAGCGTCAACCAAATTAAACTTTACTAACTGAAGTGTAATGCCAAACTGTTTCACTGCTCAAAGCTTGCAGCACTCATGAATGAGTTTCAGAGTACTCCACAAACTTTGCCTCTTTCGGTCTGAAAGTCTCTTTAAATGTGAAACTCCAGGCAGCTGATGCAGCAATTGATGCCTTGAACCCAGCCCACTGCAAAAACAGAGGGATGTACGAAAGAGGAGAAGGAACATTTGGCCTATTATCAGTGCACATTTCAAAAACCTGCCTCTCTGATGGTACTGAGGTGCCTTCGTGCTTTTGGCATGGTCAACTTACAGTACACATTTGGAAAGGCATCAGTGCAAAAAAAAAAAGATACAGGTTTTAGAACAGCATATTCTTCCTTCCTGACATTTTTTAAGGAGGTCTTTGAGCAGTACACTGTTAAACCACATACTGCATCCATTACAGCAACATGGCTTCATAGTAGAAGAGTTCAGATGTTGAACTGACATGCCTGCTGTCCAAACCTCTCACCAACTTAAAACATTTGGTGCGCCAAGAAACAGTCATTCATAGAAGGTCCAGAACTGTTGGACAGATAGAATCCTCCATGAGACCAGAATGGAACAATGTTCCAACCAAAAGGTCCAGCAACTGGTCTCCTCGGGTCCTGGACATTTACTGAGTGGATATTTCACAGTGGGAAACGTGGACACAGAACAAGTTTAAAGGCGTGTTGCTGTGATCAAATTTAAAATTACCTTTATTTAAATGGTGCAATCACTTATTTTCATCATTGGATATTGTAACTGTTTCTACTGTGAATAAAACATGGTTTGAGATTTGCAAAGCATTTTATTCTAATTTTATTTACATTTTACACAAAGTCCAAACATTTTGAAAACTGAAGATGTAATTTGGCAGTCATAACACAAACTGTATATTCTTAATTTTTAGTTAGAAACTTCAAGTGTTTCAGATGTGCTCAGGTTTCACAAGATCACAAGTCTTTATTATCTTGTCACAGATGGAACAAATCGACTGACGTTTGATATTTTTCTCTGTTTTCTCTTTCAGCTCACTTCCACCACATCATAGAGCTGCTGAGGTTCAGACAGGGGACAGTGTCGGGGATCCTCCTCTCAGCAGGTCAGAGTTCGTCTTCTTTACGGCTTCCATGGGGATTTGTCTTCATGAGTGAATAAAATGGTTAACAAACATAACAACTGGACTTTTATTTTGTAGCTGAGAACAATTTGCTACCCATCTGGGAGGCTTTCTCAGTCCAAAATTTGTCTGGAGGGTGTGAGGTTCCAGGCTTTTTTTAGAGCACAAGCTTTTTGTCATTTGAGCTCTAAATCATCGGATCAAACATGTCCCCACAAGGACAGGTGAAAAGGAACAGAAACACATTTCAAACCTAGTAGCAGTCCTGCTGCATTTATGGAGTCGCATCATTTCAGCAGGAGGTCCTACAGTGGGGTTCAGGACAGATTGTCATCCACCCACCTACCCACCCATCCAGCCATCCATCCATTATCTTTACTCGCTTCTTCCTGTTTGGGTCGCAGGGGTCATTGTGCCCAAATTCAGCAGTCACTGTGCGAAAGGCAGGTGACACCCTGGACAGGTCTCCAGTCCATCACAGAGACACATAGAGACAAACAACCATTCTCTCACACCTAGGGACAGTTTAGTTACCAATCAGTCTAACATGCATGTTTTTGGTCTGTGGGAGGAAACTGGAGTACCCAGAGAAACTCTACGTAGCACGGAGAGAACATGCAAACTCCATCCAGAAAGACCTCCGGCTGAGCTTCGATCCAGCGACCTTCTCGCTGAGGAAACGGCTCTACCAACTGAGCCACTGTGCCGCCTGACAGATTGTGTTCAGACTACTAAATGTATGCAGACAAGGTGTTCAGACAACCTCTGAAAGTTGTTTGAACAGTCTTGTAATCTAAACAAATGATTGGATTAATTGGATTTACAGGGTTTCTCATTCATTCATTCATTCATTCATATACACTCAATGCTTTTGTTCAAATATTTTTACACACTATAAAACTTGTTATACTCACTATACACAGATAAGTATATTTGTGGGCACTTCGGTGTGCTACAGCGTTTGGGGTTAGAATCCATGACACTCTGATTGGAGAGATGAGGTTTTAATCCTTTTTCCTTTTTTTTAAGCCACACTAAAGAAAACATATGTATATTTTTAACATGGGGTATTTTTCCAAGCACTGACCTCTTAGAAACTCCCTGACTAACTTTGGTGTATGAAAAAGATTCATAATAAATGTCCAAATGTGGATAACGGCAACAACTTTTTGTTGCCCAAACTTGTAGTCTTGTTTGTCTTTGGTGCCATTCTTTGACTGGGAGGACGATGGTCTCTAAACGTGTTCACTAAAATTATTGCCAGACTCACCTAACACCTAAACATAACACCGGAAGTTTTACCACAGCTTTTGCTCTGTCAGTACACATGGGCCATGCAGCTTATTAATTCAGAGCAACTTGTGTGATGATTCCTCCGGTTGACAAGGTACAGACAATCCCATGTGCCCATCAGGGTCACAGTTCTTAATTGTCATTCGCATCACATGTGGTACATGTGGTGGAACGAAGATGTGTACACAGGGTCCCACTTACAGCCAACAAAAGTATAAATTGTAGAAGAAAAACAGTAAAAAGATCTAAGATATGAACTAAGAAGTATGCTAAACTAAGAATACACTAAACCCTTAGTACAATAATATGATGTGAATATCTGCTTAAAGTTGTGCGTAATTGTGGAACAATGGGAGCTGTAGCACCGCTGGAGGATAATGTCAATGGAAGAATTGGGAGGTAACTGGTTGTTGGGGATCACACTGGTCAAATACCCATTGGGTCTTTCAGAGTTGTCCCCAAGTCATGCCATGCCGGTTGTATTTTACAGACCTGATAACTCAAACTCCTCTATGCCACGGCTGAAACACTCCGTTGATGTGCAGGAACTTGTTTCTTGACATCAACTATAAGTAGCCTCTTAAGTGTTACCAAACCTCTGTGTTTACAGTAATTATGTTATTAAACACATGAATAAAATAGAAAATCCCTCAGTTTCAGGAGTGCGCCGCAGGCAGACCTGTGCCTCTTGGTTCACTATATTCAGTGACAGCTTCACGCAGCTGACCGCTTTAGATTACGACTGGTCAAACAACTGTCAGACCTCTTTCAGAGGTTGTCTGAACCACTTTTGTCTGCATACATTTAGTAGTATGAACACAATCTGTCGGGCAGCACAGTGGTTCAGTTGGTAGAGCTGTTACCTCAATGAGAAGGTTGCTGGAACGAATTCCAGCTGGGGTCCTTTCTGGGTGGAGTTTGCATGTTCTCTCCATGCATTTGTGGGTTTTCTCTGTGTACTCCGGTTTCCTCGCACAGACCAAAAACATGCATGTTGGGCTGATTGAGGGTCGAGATGGTGTAGAGGTAGGGCAGCTGATTTGAGACCAGAAAGTCACAGGTTCAACTCCCCGCCATGCCCACATGTGTCCTTGAGCAAGACACCTAATCCCTAATTGCTCCCCGGTAGAGTTGCATTCGGGCCCAAAAATCTGATCCAACCCGGCCCCAGCCCGCAGTCATAATTTCTGAACACCACCCGACCTGACAAATTAACAGTAATGACGGGTCCGCACCCGGAAAAAAAACTGATATTTAAAATTTAGTTATTAACAGTCGTGGACACGCAGCTGAATAAAAGCGGCAGAAGATTTGGAGCTGAGAGGTGTTTGTCCTTTCATGACCATAAAAAACATTTAAACCCTGTTTCTGCTGCATTCTTCTGAATTACTGAGACACGCGGACAGCTCTGACACTTCTGCTTTGTGATCTCACCAGTTTGTTTTTTGGGCCGCGTGCGTCCGATGAGCGCAGCGGCAGAATGAACGTCCATTTGGGCGATGGATCACTTCCTGGCAGTACAGTCCCATCTGAAGCTTAACTGAACTTATTACTAGTTTCAAGTCCAGTCAGCTCGCAGAGAAATTGCCACGTGCGGCTGGTGGATGTATGGCAGGCCATGTTATCATATAATTGGATCGTGGCTGATCCTGACCTAATTAAAAGCTCGAGACTGGCCTGGCCTGCCCATTAATCACATTATAACGGCCCGGCCCTAATCCGGGTCGGTCCGTGCCGGGTTTGGGTTAGAAATTACAGCTCTACTCCCCGGGCACTTACATAGCTGTCCACTGCTCCACCTGGATGTATCTCGTGTGTGATGATTTAATGCAGAAAACTAATTTCATCATTGTATAAAATCATACAGTGATGACAACACACAGCACTTTACTTTTTACTTTACACCCCCGATCTTTCCTCTTTGCACATGTATGGCATATATGGCTTTAGGCCCCAGTACTTAATTAGGAGCATCTCTGGCTCACGTCATATAATTACTAATTTTCCTGCATCTAGACATCATTTTTGATTGTGCAGAGTAGAGAATCACACATGCAGGACATATCTGCATCTAATGGCATTTTTAAATGGAGGTGTGTCAGGGGAGGAGTTTCATGCGCTCAGTTTGACTTTTTTGTTTTAGTGTGTAAAGCAAAGGTACCTGGAAACATGTGCTTGCACTTTTTAAAACAATTTGAATATTTCAATGCGTATGCAGTTTTCCAATTCAATCAGAATGCCAACTTTCAGTATGAAAACTGCACACTATGTGATACATGAGGCCACTGGTTCTTCAGATCCTCAAATGCCACAGACAACATTTATGTTACACAAACACTTGTGAATCAATCAATCAGTCATGGAGAGAAAACATAAATTGCAGTCCCCTCCAAAAGTATTGGAACACCAAGGCAAATAAATATAAATGAGCTTTTCCAGAAGCAGCCATGCATGCCCAAACCATGACATTACCTTCGCCATGCTTCACAGATGAGCTTGTATGCTTCAAATCATAAGCACTTCCTTTCTTTCTCCACACTTTGGCCTTTCCATCACTTTGGTAGAGACAAATCTTGGTCTCATCAGTCCATAAGTAAGTAAGTAAGTGCTATGTATTGTCATCATTGTATGTTCCATACAGTGACAAGATTGTGTTCCAGAACGTTTGTTCCTCAACTCTGCACATCTTTGCAAATATATAAATCTAATCTGGCCTTCTGATTCTTAGCTGATGAGTGGTTGGCATAGTGTGCTATGGCCTCTATATTTCTGCTCTTGGAGTCTTCTTGAACAGTGGATTGTGATACCTTCAAACCCTGTGGAGGTTGTTGGCGATGTAAATTACTGATGTTTTGGGGTTTTCTTCACTGCTCTCACAATATTTCTGTTGTCAACTAGTGTTGTTTTCTTTGGCTGACCATTTGACATCTGTTGCTCAGTACACCCATAGTTTTTTTTTTCTTTTTCAGGACATTCCAAGTTGTGCTTGCTATGCCCAGTGTGTGTCCAATGACTGATTGGTTTTCATTCTTTTCTCAGCTTCAAAAATCCTTTCTTTTCTCCCATATACTGATCTGGTCTCTGTGTTGGTTAACTCTCTTTTAACAGGAAATGCAGTTTTTACCCAGGCTTAAAAGTTAAGTAAAGTGCTATGTGTGGTCATCAGTGTATGTTCCCATACAATGGCCAAATTAGTTCTCTGCATTTAACCCATTGCACCTGGGATACACCCAGGAAGAGCAGTGTGCAGCTATGTAAGCGCCTGAGGAGCAAATAGGGATTGGGTGTCTTGCTCAGAGACACCACGACTGTGGGATTGGCTGGGGATCGAACCTGGGACTTATGGGTCCCGAGTCGGCTGCCCTACCTCTACCCCGACTAGTCATAAAGAGCTACAGTATTTAATATCCTGATGTTATACGGTGATGAATACAGTATTTAATGTTCAAACAATCAACCTAAAAGGCAACACCTTTAAACAAACACCTATCTATAGGCCTGTCATGATAACAAATTTTGCTGGGTGATTGTCTCAGAAATTATTGCTATAAACGATAATATTGTTTGAAATTTGACAATAATTAGTAATTATTGTCAAACTGAAGAATAAATGTTTTCTATCTTATTTTGTTTTGCATGTAGTACCTTTTTGTCGACCACAGGATGGCAGTATAAGACTGTTTGAACCAAGGATGGATACTGAGGGAGCGAGCAGCGTGTCTCCAAGAAAAATGTGAGGGAGGCGCTTTGACAAAACTGAGGTTTTTTTCCTGAGTTCAGCCTGTTAGCTTAGCTCGTAGCTTAGCTTCTCAGCTTAGCTGCTTGTAACAATCCAAAAACGCGATTTTGGACGGTTAAAACAGATTTTAAAGATAAAAGAGAAATGAAGGGGTCAGTCAAGAGCACCGGAGTTTAGCTTTTGTCATCCAGTGTCTTCAGAAAGAGAGAGACATGAAGAAACGATAAAGCCGGTAAATGAGGTTGATCATTTTAATTTATCATGCGATTAATTGATTTGTTTATTGCAACAGGCCTCCCTGCCAGTCGTACGTTCCAATCGGTTTGGTCACTTGAAAAATGGGTGGGTTCAAACAAAAAGTGGTATGTCCTGAGTTGTTTAACACAGCTACATGTAAATACCAGGAAATAAACGCTGACATTCTGAACTCTTGTCTCGCTCATCTTTTGATCTAAAACCCAGATGCCTTCAGTGAACACCAAAACCAAAGGAATTTACCTCGCTCTTCCAGTACTTTTGGAGAAGACTGTACACTTTGATACCTCACCTTTCATATAATGTTTTGCACATCAAGACCAAAAAAATGTTTATGAATATCCTTTTTTTTTTGTTTTGTTACAGTGTTTCAGTTCTCCTACACAGCAGTGTTTGGAGCCTACACTGCCTTCATCTTCATTAGAACAGGTGAGTAGATTTCATCATGGTTTGTTTTCTGTTATTAAATTCACTTGTACTCTAGATGGATCACTCTTCTACAAGGTGGTGGATTGATGCTTGTACCAGTTCATAACTTTCAAACTGACTTAGACTCATATCCCTCTTAAAAAGACAGACAGACTTGATGAGTTTCTTAGGTCTCTTGAGAACATCAAGGCTTGGCTAGCATTACCTTTATGAATCATATTGTTTTTGGAGGAATGACTGGGGCCTCCCCTGTAGATTTAGTTTTTTTGGACCAGCACAGCAAACTGACTTTGAGGAATTTGGGTTTTAACTGGATCCAAAGCTTAAGCTTATGACACAAAACCAAGAGCGGAGAGCTGCAGCGTCTGCGCCCGCTCCATCCACACCTACTGCTGTAAAAAAGTTACTTATCTGAGCGCGCGGAATCATGAAAGTGTAAAAAATAAACCAGCAGGAAAAAACAACAGGATGAAACTTCGTTGTTGAAATTTCTCTGTGACGAGATCACCGTAAGACTATCTTACTCAACTACAACTCAAAACACCTAAGGAAAATACACTACCTGGACCACCTCTGGTTTCTCCACTTGCCACCAGCTACCAGGTCCAGCCCAGACTTCTCCTTCAACCACTGGGACCAGCAGGGCTTCTTGATTAGCCACTAGATCCAGCTACATGGTTCAGTTCAGGCCTTTTGGACAGCTCCACTACTCCACCAGCTGCTGGGCCTAGCTGGGTTTCTCCATCAGCCTCCAGACCAAGCTAACTGGGCTAGACCAGGCTCCTTACCTGTCACAAGGCCTAGTCATTAGGCTTCGTCTCAGGGCCAAAACCAGGCCCCAAGGTCCAGCACCAAACCAGGACTTGTCTGTCAGCCATCAGGGACTGACTTTGGGCCTGCAGTTCTCTACCATTGCGTGTGTGTGTAAAAAATAAATAACTTTTCTTCATCCAGTGGTTATGTGCTTCTTAATAGCCATTTAACAGGCAGCATCAAACTGTACCAGTAAGACCAGTGTAAGTTTTCATAACAACAACCAAAGGTGTTTCTCCCTCAAAGAAACTGGTCCTGATGACATGATTTAACTTTTTTTGTTGTCATCTACCTGGATGATTGAGCTTACAACCTTTTTTCGTAACAACCAGATAAAATGCAAGAACTTTGTATGGCTGCACCACAGATACTCATTACAGATCAGCTGATGGAGCTGATCAACTGTGACGTGTCACAGCCACTATTGTACAATCAGTGCGTTATTGATCAGGCTTGTAAAAGCAAAGTGCCGTATTATTTGAACAAATACTTTTATTTATTTTTCTTACGGCGCTGCACGAGCAGCCCGTTTCAGCAGCTCCAACTCAGTCCTGAGTTTTTCTCTCTTTAATCTGTTTTTACACGTGTTGTATGTTTCATGCTTGTACGCAAAATGGAACCAACCTTTTTGTGGACAGCTCTGTTTTTATTTGTTTATGGCACTTTTGTTCAAAGGCTTTGTGAGCAGCCAAAGCTGAAGATCTTTTCCACTTTGTGGTGGCATCAGCCATCTTCTGTGGTGTAGTCTGCTGGAGCAGCAGCTTATCTACAGCTGAGAGGAGGTGGTTAGATAAGCTAATCAGGAAGGCCAGCTCTGACCCAGTATGCCCCCTGGACTCTGTGCAGGTGGTGGGAGACAGAAGGACTCTGTCAAAACAACAACTCTGTTGGACGATGTGTCCCACCCCCTGCATGAAGCTGTTCCAGCACTGAGAGCTCCTTCAGGGACAGACTGAGGTGCACAAAGGAGGGTTATTGCAGGTCCTTCCTCCAGCAGCTGTTGGACTTTAGAACCATCACAGATCACAACAAAGTGTCACGTGCACTGTCTCCATTTCTTGGACATACTGAGCTCTCTTTTTTCTTTGTAAAAACACACATGCACATGTTGTACACTCTTTAAATGGTCCTACTCAGTTCACATCTCTTGAATCTAGGTGTGCTATTTCTAATAACTGCACAGCATTTTTTCTTATGCTGTGAATATTCCCTTACTGTACAGTCTCATTCTCGCTGTTTTTTATATTTTTTACCTTTGTGAGAATCTGCATGCTTTGATTCACCTGCCACTTTGCTGCTGGTACACCTGAGTGTCCCCACTGAGGGACAACAAAGGTTATTTCTATTCTGTTTATTCATGTTACTATTATTAGATCAGTTGTGCCACAGAGCTGTTGTCCCTCATTTTAGCTCTACGCTCAATTCAATTCACTTCAGTTTATTTATACAGCGCCAAGTCACATCAGAAATCGTCTCAGGACACTGAACAGAAACATTCATACAAACCGGATTCCAAAAAAGTTGGGACACTAAACAAATTGTGAATAAAAACTGAATGCAATGATGTGGAGATGGCAAATGTCAATATTTTATTCGTAATATAACATAAATGACAGATCAAAAGTTTAATCAGAGTAAATGTAACATTTTAAAGGAAAACTATGTTGATTCAAATTTTCACAGTGTCAACAAATCCCAAAAAGTTGGGACAAGTAGCAATAAGTGGCTGGAAAAAGGAAATTGAGCATATAACGAACAGCTGGAAGACCAATTAACACTAATTAGGTCACTTGACAACATGATTGGGTATAAAAAGAGCTTCTCAGAGTGTCAGTGTCTCTCAGAAGCCAAGATGGTAAGAGGATCACCAATTCCACCATTGTTGCGCAGAAAGATAGTGCAGCAATACCAGAATGGTGTTACCCAGCGTAAAATAGCAAAGACTTTTAAGTTATCATCATCAACCGTGCATAACATCATCAAAAGATTCAGAGAATATGGAACAATCGCTGTGCGTAAGGGTCAAGGCCGTAAAACTGTACTGGATGCTCGTGATCTCCGGGCCCTTAAACGTCACTGCACCTCAAACAGGAATGCCACTGTCAATGAAATAACAGAATGGGCTCAGGAATACTTCCAGAAAGCATTGTCAGTGAACACAATCCACCGTACCATCCGCCGTTGCCAGCTGAAACTCTACAGTGCAAAGAGGAAGCCATTTCTAAGCAAGCTCCACAAGCTCAGATGTTTGCACTGGGCCAGGGGTCATTTAAAATGGAGTGTGGCAAAATGGAAAACTGTTCTGTGGTCAGATGAGTCACGATTTGAAGTTCTTTATGGAACACTGGGACGCCATGTCATCCGGACCAGAGAGGACAAGGATAGCCCAAGTTGTTATCAATGCTCCGTTCAGAAGCCTGCATCACTGATGGTATGGTGTTGCATGAGCGCTTGTGGCATGGGCAGCTTGCATGTCTGGAAAGGCACCATTAATGCAGAGAACTATGTTCAGGTTCTAGAATGTGCTCCCATCTAGACGTCATCTCTTTCAGGGAAGACCCTGCATTTTTCAACACGATAATGCCAGACCACATTCTGCAGCAATCACAACATCATGGCTACGTAGGAGAAGGATCCGGGTACTGAAATGGCCAGCCTGTAGTCCAGATCTTTCACCTATAGAGAACATTTGGCGCATCATAAAGAGGAAGGTGCGACAAAGAAGGCCCAAGACGATTGAACAGTTAGAGGCCTGTATTAGACATGAATGGGAGAGCATTCCTATTTCTAAACTTGAGAAACTGGTCTCCTCTGTCCCCAGATGTCTGTTGAGTGTTGTAAGAAGAAGGGGGGATGCCACACAGTGGTAAAAATGGACTTGTCCCAACTTTTTTGGGGATTAGTTGATGCCATGAAATTTGGAAACGACAGATTTTTCTCTTAAAATTATACATTCTCTCAGTTTAAACTTTTGATCTGTGATTTGTGTTCTATTCTGAATAAAATATTAGATGTTGGCACCTCCACATCATTGCATTCAGTTTTTATTCACAATTTGTTTAATGTCCCAACTTTTTTGGAATCCGGTTTGTA